TCAGCTTTTCACAAATTCTGAAGTCGTTACAATGACCTTGTTAGCAAATACAACCTATCGTTGGGTCGTATTTCTTATGTTTGATAAATTTCTTAGGTCAATGCTTTTATGCTAACTTTTACTACGGAGTACTCTGTGTACCTGATCAATACATAGGGCTCACCGCGGGTGTGACCGGTCAACAGGGGATGTTTACTCCTCCTAGGCACATGACCAACCTTGTGTTTCCAGGGGGCCATGTTCTCGCCCTGTTCACGATTTGTTTTGTTTTACTGGGTTGAAGAGATTGTTCACTGTATTGTTTGTAATCTTAAACTTTTACAGTGCAAAAAGAAAACTTCTGTTAGAAAAATGTAGCGTTGTCGATGGTTTGCAAATATATCAGGAAAAAAATTACAAGCAAAAATAGTTATACTAGACATTTTAGATTATACATCATACGCTTTGCTAATATAGAAGGAAATATTATTAGAACAATAAATTTAGAAACCCACCCCCAGAAAATAATTAACTAATTAATAAGACTGATTTGTTATTCGAATTGATATGAAAACTGAATCATTTCTCAATTTAGCTATAGTTTAAAATTAAAAAAAATTCTTTTCTGAATTTTAAACTTCATTCGTGTTCTGAAATACTTATTCATTTATCTAGAATTTTGTATTATTCCCAATATGGACCTAATAATAGACCATTAAGGACACATGATACAAATCAAAATTTATGGATTGGTATATACTTTTTTTTCAATTTTTTAAGTTGTGTTTAGTTGTATCTTAGTTTTAGTAAATGATGCAAGTATTAAATTCCTTAAGTTTCTAAGATATTAAGATATTGTGAATTGTCATTGCTCTTTCAGGTTTTCAAAATAAATCTATACAATTTTAACGACTTATATTAATAGGACTCTATGATCGATGATGAAAACAAATTTAACTATATTTATAAAAAAAAAAAAAAAAAAAAAACAACATAGATTAAGTAACTTGACTTAATTTTTTATTGACAATGCTTTACTCTTATTTGATTGAATGTATGTTGTTTAACGCCTCATTCGAGAATTTTCACCGTATGAAGGTTAAGGGCTTAAAATTTAGACCTATACTCGGCACTCAGGGCCATTGAATAGTGAGGGTTCTTTATCGTGCCAACGCTTACGTGAAACGGGACCTCGGTTCTTAAGGTCTCACCCGAAAGACCCGTGCCTTTCACTTCTAATGCCGGGAGTTTGGCGAAGGAACATTAACTATGTTTACGTCTTCGGTTTGATGCAGCGCGGCGAAGGAGAATCGAACCCGGGCCTCCCGATCACGTAATGGACAATGCATTACTGATGAAAATTACATTAAATCTTTGGTAAACGTGATGACCTACTTTCTATCGTCAACTTCCCTTATTTATGTAGCAACATACCATTATGACCAGGTTTTGGTGTTTATGTTTCCATGTTCTGCATATGTTTGATTTTTAAGCAGAGGCAGGTTACTGACAAATAGACGATATTACAAGGATATAATCGATCTTGATTAAAGTCAAACTTTTGCAAATTATATGGTTGGTACAGTGATGTTAATTGAAAATACAATGTGTTGTTAGGTCTCATGCTACTTGAAGTATTTCATACAAATTATTAAGTCATCTTGTTCAAGATGTCACTCTAATACATTCATATGATGCTGGTTGCAGATTTTTTATGAAATATGATTATTTTTACATTCTCAGTTTACGGCGACCAGATCGAAATACCAAGAAAAGAGATTATCAATATATGTAGCACAAATCAATGTACATAATTTTACCTACAAATCTATACCTTAAGCATTTGATTGAATGTCATTCAATTAGCAAGTATTATAGAAAATATGAAGAAAAGCCACAACTCGGTGTAATTATCACAACTAGGTAATAAACATTTTTACCTAAATATTAGAAACTGTTTTTTTTTTTAAGAAAAATCACAAAATTAGAAGGATTCTGAAACGTTGAATGGGGATTTTTTGCTCCTAACAACACAAATTTTAATTCCTTATTATATAATTCAGATTGCCGTGCTGTTCCTCCATTATGTCAGCAATGTCATCATACGTTATTGTGTCGTCATGTCTAGGTAGTTCGAAGAAGTTACTACAGTTGGTGCACTGTGATATTTTACTGACAGTCTTATCAAAACCGCGAGAGAAAGTTTCATGAATAAATACATGATTTATTTAAAATGGAAATCGCAGACATAAATAGTAGAGTAAAAGATTTTTTTTTAAATATTTACTTCTTTAAACATCGTTATGGAAATGCAACTTACATCCAAACGGGAAGGCATGTCAGTAGTGGTTATTGACCAGGACCCTAACTGGACCGATGCTCAGAGAAAAAGCGAAGAAAAATTCTGGAGGCACAGGTTCATTCCGTTCCGATGGTATTAACAAACTGGATGACTTCTCCAGGATGAACTTGAATTAGGCAAAAATGTTTGACAATTTCTGGGATAATTTTGAGAAAATGATTTAGAGAACGTGTCAATAATTTTCCATAGATTATGAATCATTATTAAAAAAAATCCTGCGTCACGAGTGAAATAAATTCCATATTCATTTACAAAACGTTGAATTTTCTGTTTATTACATTTTCTTTGATTTTCCCTTTGCCCCTGTCTTTTCTTAACACAGTGTCATAAGCTTGACGTCATAGTTGAGCGGTTGAGACGTCATAGCTTAGTAGTTGTGAGATTGAAAACATTACATAGCATGGATTTTAGCAACATATTTGGGAAGAAATTTGCAGTTTTAGTCTCTATCAAGATGGTTAGTTACTATCTCTATCTTATGACGGGCCAGAAATTATTTTTTACTTACTTTGGTATCTTTTCACACTGTGAGAGAATATCATTTTGGTATCCTTTCACACTGTGAGAGAATATCACTTTTATTCAATAAATAAATCACAGTATTTCACTGTTGAAAATGTAATAAAATATATTATTATATAGTCTATTTATAGTCCCTATATAATCTAAACAAACGCAAGCAGTTCATAACACTACATATTCACTGGTTTTGAAGCCGTATTCACCGGAGGGTCGGTGCGCGTGCAGCGGCATTGTGACGTCACAATCAACACCTCAAACAACGTTGTAAACAATGGTTGCAACGGCCGGAGCCAGCTGTGTATCTGAGCAGGAAAAAACATTAGTCAAGCCTATCGCAGGATTATTTTCTAGACATTTCGATCTCTTACAAACAGCAAAAAGAAAACACGGAAATTATAACTTGTGATATAATATAATATAATATAATACATGTATAATATAAAAATTCCATAGTTCATTGAGAAAAATGTATTATTGTTTTCATTTTGAATTGATTATCGATTATGCACACACACACACACACACACACACACACACACACACACAAACCGATGTCGCAAAATTAAGACGTTTCGGGGATTAATAATAATATAAAAGACACCTTAAAAGTACATCGGACTGATAACATTTTTTCATTGGTAGAAAGTTTCATTGTAGAGAGTCTGTTTCTTTATTATCTAGAATGTTCTAAAGTCACGAAAAAAAAAAATGAAAACCAGAGATAACTGTTTCTGGATTAAGATTTTATTTTTCCATGATTTAAGGGGAACAAACCATTGTACATGCGATATAAAGAATGTGAAAGATTTGCCATATGATACTTTTTTTTCAAACAAAACAATTATCTCCAAATAGAGAACAAGAACAAATGACCTAGCAAAAAGTTTATCAACTTGCTTTAAACAAATTTAACAAGGAAAAAACTATACAATCAATATGTTCATGAATCTGGATATCAAGTAGTCAAGTACTAAAGTCAAGTAATTTTTTTAGTTATAGTCGGAAGGTATATACAGTATAACATAATAACATGAGCTATGATAGCTCTTTAACCGACTTAGATAAAAGATAAAAGTAAGTTAAAATATACAAAACTAATAAAAGGAACATAAAATGAATCGATTAAAAATAAACAATTGAAGGTTAAGAAATTAACACAGTACAGCACAGACATTTACTAGCACAGATAAAACTAAAATTTAAAAAGAAGAAGAAAGTAAAAACGAAAGAAAAACTGAATAAACAAAAAAGCAGCATAGATAGTAAACACTGGTCTCCAAAAACTACATAGATATTGTCATTCAGAAACTCAAGCATCTTTTTAATGTCAACTTCAGAGTACTTGTGTGTACAATCACAATGTTTTTAACAAAATAAGTTTGCGAATGACAAATACCTCGGTAATATTGAAATATACTTATTAGACACGTTCATATCACACATTAAAACTCAACACTATCATGTTTCTAAAAAGTGCGTTGAAAATTCAAACATGGTTCCGATGTCATTATTGTACCCTAAATATCCAAAATAGCCTGCCTTCTATACCTTTTTGTCAATTATTTACATTATTTTCATCTTTCTAGTTCACACATGATGCCAATGTTTACGATGAGCAAGTCTTCTGTATACATTGGAGAGAAAAAATAATGAAACCTTAGAATAACACGAATAATGTTTGTCAATTGAAAGAAATGTTATAAATTCACAAAATAAATAAACCATCTGGTTTAAATCTATACAAAAGTCTTAATTATTCAATTAAAAATGATATTATATGTGTTTTTGTGAAATGTTTCATAGAGATACCATTTTCGTTCATATTTAGGCAAACAGAATTTCTTGATTTTTTGCAGAGAATGACCATGAAACAGTCTGCTTATATGATTGTGTGTATTTTCTCGATTACCACGGAGAGTGGAGTTGTAAGTATTTGTAGATTTTGTATTTTTGAATTTTTTTGTTTATGCTTTCTTCTCGATTTTTGTGACGTAATAAGCAGTGTGTTCATATTTCAGATTATTTTTGATTATTCTATTAAAAAAGGTGTCACTCTGCCATCTGATACATACTTTAAATTCATTATATTTCCACTGTCAAATGTAAATCGAAAAGTATAATTTTAAATCTATCTAAGATGACATATCCTTTGGAGAATCCTCCCCTTTACACCATTGATGCCTGTCCTGGCAACCAGACTGAATGGGAGGCGGCTTCAAGGAGACTGAACTGTACAATGAAATCAAACGTCTTCAAAAATAGATATCACTGTGTGGCCACCAGAGACCGATCACGGCTGGTGGAGTTCTGTTATCCACAGTATAGGAGCCTGTTTGGGAAAGGTTTGTATCTTCTGAATTATTATTTAAAGACGTTTTATTTCGTTCAATTATATTTTAAAGCAGAAAGCTGAATATATTAAAATTAATTCAGTTTATCAAATCACAGATTTGCAGTTTAGCTATAAATGTTATAGGCAGATATTTCCTAATTGACGATTTTTTTCTCTGAAGCTTTATCTCGAAAGCTACTTGTACTTGTATCGTTCTTAAACTCACTGAATTTGCAGAGAGGAAAAATTTGATTTTTATTTTATACATATTAGCAGATGAGATATATTTAGACGTGATTAAATAAAATAAACTATATTTTACTGTTCTAGGACAGTGTGTTATAATCGATCCTCCGCTCACATTGGACAATTATACTTGTCTTCATTTCACGAATGGATGTCCTGATGATAATTATTTCACTGACCAGTTATACAAATGTAAGTCTCTGGTTCAAATTAAACAATACGATTCCGTATGTTTTAAAGACATTGTGCAATATTTTTTTTCGAAAGTTATTGTCTATTTTATTTAATGTTATTTCATTTATTTAGGTTTTTTTCTTTTTCACAGATCCTAATTGTTTCCGGATTGAACCTGCTCTGAAGTGTTTCATTTCTGATGAATCATGTTTGAAGAAGAATCGGTAATTCATTGATTTGCCTAGAAAAGAAGCATTATGATGAATTATTTGTCGACGATAATGATTACAATGTGATATTTCGGTATTTTGTAGTAGGATTACCGCAATGCAAAGTGAAGAAGAGTCCACTTCACAGTTATCCATAGCTCAGAACTTTACTAAACAGTCACACAAAAAGAAAGATTTAGTTCCTATTTTAGTTCCTACGTTTCTCCTTCTCGGAATCTTTTTTGGAATCGTAATATTTACGATGACCCGATTAAAAAGGAGGAATTGCTTGACAACAAAAAATCCAATGGGAGATGTTCATAGTGTCAAGAGCGATGTAACAGAATACTTGCTACAAAGTAAGTATTTTTCTCCTATTAAGACTAACGTTATTAAGTCAAAGACATTTTTGATTTGAATTTGACTTTGAACATATAAAAAACCTCATTTTATAAATTTACATAAGATTTAAGAACACTGATTTATATCTCCTTTCAAGGTGAAACAGAAAATGTGAACAAAATCGACTCTATAGAAATATATCGTGTGCAGGATGAGACAAACACGGAGGATAAAAATGTAATAGTTGAGAGGCGTGACTGGCAAAGAGATGAAGAACACATAGGTAATAGGAACAATCTTATAAATATTACTTACACAATGGAATTATAAAAATAATACCACAATATTTTAATGCAATTGCATTTCTCCTGATAATATTACGTATTACATTTTTCAATGAAATGCAAAAATAGATGTGCAACTTTCATTAATCTATCTATCTTGAACAATTTACTTAGGGTCAAATTTAAAAACAAAACAACAAAAGAATCAATGAAAAAGGTGAAGATAACGAACAGCATTCGATCTCAAAAACATATAAGCGATAAAAACATGTGAAGAGGGCATCAAACATGGACACCTGGAAATTCCTGAGGTGTGATCAGGTGCCAGTTGACCGTGCCCTATGCTGAGATCAGGTAGACTGACAGCATTCAGTAGTCAATTCAGTATGAAAAACAAAGGCCTAGCAATTGATATGAAATACATCTGTCAACATACGACCCAATGACAGCTTATATTTGCTACGAAGGTGCTACTGACTTTAAACGATTTGTTCATCATATTATGTTCGAAAGGGAAGCAGAAAATCTTAATATTTTGAGTATGGTTGTTGCAATGAAAGAGAGATTTTATTTTTAAAAAATCGAAGCAACTTCATGCTTGCACAGAGACCAACACATTCGTATCATATTTGGAAAGAGGAAGAGTCGTTATGGATCATAATATTAATCGGCCCTGTTATTGAATATGATCAGGATTTTTTCACATGGTGTCTACAATGCATATTTCCTAAAAGAGTTTAAATTTCTCCGATACCACTTTTATTTTTTCATCAAGAGCCTCTTAAAAATGGCATGATTGTCCACAAAAGTCGTGCTTTAGGGCATGGCGTCACGATGTAAATTTTACCTTATCAATATTTGCTATAGACAACTCTAAAAATTTCTACGTTTAAAATCTGTTAATTTTCTAATATGAAAAGTTTTTTAATAACTTAATGTTTTTTTTTTCACATTAACCAAATTACATAATATACTTTCTTAATGTCATGATTTTGAAATTTTTTGTTACGATATGTATGCTGAAATATTAATGGGATAAATACATAAAAACGATTTGGAAAGAGAAAACTTTCAAAAGTTTATTCTCCTGAAATAAATAAATATTTTTTTAATTACAATAACAACAACAATAGAGATTCTTTATACATATGCAGCAACTACACACATAAATTTAACTAAAACTAGAGCCGAGCTCGTTGCAATGCAACGAATAGGTCTTCCGGCGGAGCTCTGGACAGGACAGAGCGACCTTGAGTCAAGGTCATGCAACATTTTAAGGTTATAAACAATCCTGTAAGGGGCATCAACTTTCAATGTTTCAACAGTAGAAAGACAATAAAGGAATGTAAAATTCCCCTGTCAGTGAACTTGAACTTGTCCAAATAACTTTGCGTCAAGCCATGACATTCTGCAGCTGGTTAAGAGCAAACACCATCTTTATGTCACCGACATTAAAAAAAATCACAGTCACGTATTCTTTCAGACTATTCATCCAAAACATCATATTCTAAGTGACCTCGAATTTAAGTCAAGGCCATTACACACTCTGGATGATATATTTATCATCTTTTCAGTGAAATGCAAATGCATGCAATTTTTTCTATTACAAAAGTATAGACCTTTTTGTTTATTTGTTTGTATGTTGTTTAACGTCCCTTTCGAGAATTTTTCAATCATATGGAGACGCCACCATTTGCCGATGGAGATCTGCAAATTTTGACCTATACTCGGCACACATGGCCATTTAGCAGTGAGGGATCTTTTTCGTGCCAGCACCTACTGCCAGACGGGACCTCAGTTTGTACGGTCTCATCCGAAGGATCAGTCTCTGCGTCCCACAGTGGGATTCGAACCTGCGATGTAAGGATCAACTCCATAATCCACGACTCTAGAGCAGACACTCTTACCACTGCGCCACTTGGGCGACTAGACCTTTTTGAATTTTACACTTATTATATCAGTGACCTTGAACTTGCCTAAATGACCTATGTTAAGGTCAAAAGCAACCTTTGAACAAATTATGAGCTTCCAGTGATACCCAATGACAAAGATATACCTGAAAAAGAATATTGCACTTTTCTGTCAGTGACCTTGAACTTGCCAGAAAGACCTTGGATCAAGGTCAAAACACATTCTATGATCATAAGCAATCTCTGTATCAAGTAAAAGCTTCCAGTGATTTTATATAACAAAGTTATAGCATGTGGAAAAAAAATAATATTTATCTGCCAGTGACCTTGAACTTGCCGAAAAAACCTTTGTTCAAGGTCAGGAAAACCCATCTCAAGCAATCTGAGAAAAAGTTTCCTGTGTTCCTCCCACCCCTTATAAATTTATAATCCAGGCACGAATTTTGCCACTTCTTCTGCCAGTCTAGTACTATGTTATCTCAAACCGGTGGATCATAAGCAATCTTTGTTCCAAGTATGAGCTTCAAAAGTTATAACACATACAGTAATCTTACAGTTTTCTGTCAGTGACCTTGAACTTACAGGAATGACCTTGGATGAAAGTCGTGTCAAACCCTTTAATTTTGTCTTAAGCAATTTCTGTATCAAGTATGATACTTGCTATTTTTTTCCAATGACCTTGAACTTGCTGGAATGATGTTGGAATGACACACCTTCGGATCATTAATAATCTTTGTACTAAGTATGACCTTCCAGTTTCTTCATAACAAAGTTATAATATCCTTGGCGAACTAACACGTACAGACGGACAGCTAGGCAGACGGACAGTGTGATTCCAAAAGACTCAAAACACCCCCACCCCAAACCCACACACTTCGTTTGGGGGATATATAAATTCCTTTGTTAAATTATGAACACTCTCTCCGGCCCAAACCTTCTCCCTGGAATCAATATTTGAAAAAAAGAAAATGAATGTATGCTATGTTGGAAATTTTCTCATTCTAGTCCAGGGATTCTTGAGAATACTATTTTCAAATGACCCCATGCGCGGATCTAGAGGGGGTTGGGGGCAGTTAAATGTATATACTAAACAAGAGGCCCATGGGCCACATCGCTCACCTGAGTAACTTTGGCCATGCTGTTCATTACCAGACTTCCACCCTTGTAATACCTATTGTGGCCCCACCCTACCCCCAGGGGCCATGATTTGAACAATTTAGAATCTACACTACCCCGGGATGCTTCCACATAAGTTTCAGTCTTTCTGGTCCAGTGGTTTTTGAGAAGATTTTTAAAGATTTTTCCTATATATTTCAATGTAAAACTTGAGATTCCCCCTATTGTGGCCCCGCCCTATCCCCGGGGTCATGATTTGAACAATTTAGAGTCTACACTACTTGAGGATGCTTCCACATAAGTTTCAGCTTTTCTGGCTCAGTGGTTCTTGAGAAGAAGATTTTTAAAGATTTTTCCTATACATTTCAATGTAAAACTTATATTTCCTATTGTGGCCACGCCCTACCCCCGGGGGTCATGATTTGAATAATTTAGAATCTACACTACCCCAGGATGCTTCCACGTAAGTTTCAGCTTTTCTAGCCCAGTGGTTCTTGAGAAGAAGATTTTTTTAATGACCCCACCCTATTTTTGTCTTTTCTTGATTATCTCCCCTTGTAAGGGGACTTGGTCCTTTATTTTAAAAATTTAAACTTCCCTTCCCCCAAGGATACTTTGTATCAAGTTTAGTAAAAATTGGCCCAGTGGTTCTTGAGAAGAAGTTGAAAATGTGAAAAGTTTACAGACGGATGGACGGACAGACAGACGGACGGACGACGGACAACGGGTGATCAGAAAAGCGCACTTGAGCTTTCAGCTCAGGTGAGCTAACAAGTAAAACTGACCCCCCCCCCCCTTAGAAAACACGGACCCTTCCTCGAAAACGCGGATTTGTGTTAAAATGGTATGAAAAGTCTTAGGTATGAAGCTTTAAAAGTCAACGACCCCCCCCCCCCCCCTCCCCCATACACACACACAAACACACACACGAAATAGGTTTTTCACGTTTGGGAAAAGAGTTTCTTTTTTTTTGGCTCGTCAAGAAATTTCTGGGTTGAAATAATTTGTTTTATTGGGATACCCTCCCCTCCCCCCCCCCCCCCCCCGTGGAAAAAAATTCCTTGATCTGCGCCTGGACCCCATCTAATTTTTTCTACATGTATCCGTTAAAAGAGGATGTGACCCTTCATTTGAACAAAACTTTACTAAAAATATTCTGTGTTAATTTTCGTTGTTATGGTCCAGTGGTTCTTGATAAGATGAAAATGAGAAAAATTTACGAGTAGCTTTAGAACAACAACGACGATAATGCTAAATATACACCAATATAGCAAACAAAGATGAAGAATTATGAACAGCAAAAGCTTACTTGGGTCATTGGCTTGGGAGATGAGATACGTATTAAAAATTGAAATTATTTTGTCTTTTTTTTTTACAATCGACGGGCCTGCATTTCAAAGAGAGAGAGAGAGAGAGAGAGAGAGAGAGAATTTCTAGCTAGGTCTTTGAATAACAGTGAGATCGGTTCAGAAAACCAGGTCCCTAAGAATGTACATGTATATAAAATAGGCAGTGCCTTTCTCTCGGAGTTCATCACCTGCTTCTATAAAGCTCCATCCTCACTTGTACTGACATGTACCTGGTAAAACCAACCGACTGCGAAGGAAAACATTCTATTTATTTCGAGGATGGGGGTTTACGTATAGTGATAAGAGGAAATTTATTCACCTGTACGTTCATTAAATATGAAAGATTGCTTCTGAGTATTTGTATACGATCGCACGACTTTCGTGTTAATTTATAAAAAGTTAGATTATGAAAGCAAAGAACTAAACTGACATTTGTTGTAGATGAATTAAATAATTATTTAGCCGTTTATAAGGTTTTTTTAACATCTGTAAGAACCACTTTATTTTAAAAAAACAAATAATCGTCCTATTATTGGCGCCCATGATATATTAGACTATGTGTTTAAATAAAACATAATTCAGATATCGACATCCAAGAAAACACATTATTTTTCAGTGGCGGAA